TTTCCCTTCTCCCTCTCCTCTCCTCTCTCCTCTCCCTCTCCCCCTCTCCTCTCCTCTCCTCTCCTTCTCCCTCTCCTCTCCTCTTTTACAAGAAGAGCAAACCCTCCTTTTTCTTATTTCCACAGCTGGTGGGCAGAAATGCACGGTCTCCATCAACGTCCTCTTAGCCCAGACCGTCTTCCTTTTTCTGATTGCAAAAAAGGTGCCGGAAACTTCTCAGGCGGTGCCCCTGATTGGAAAGTGAGTATTTTGCAAAATGAACACCATTACCACTTGCAGCAGCTGCCAATTTGGATACTCGAGTAGGTTTGGAACTCAGAATGAAACCAGGGAACAAAGCTTAATTAAATAATTCTGGACGCTTCCAGAAGGGAGTTCCCTTCCTTATGAGCTGTGGTGGGGACAGGGGGGCACAAGGGGCTGGTATTTTGGCCAGGATTTATAGTCCTTCAACTCATCCTTGGCAACTTTAAGACTTGTGGACTCCAACTCCCAGCTGGGTGACTTTGGGCCAATCACCAGGAGACGGTGAGTTCTAGTTCTGCCTTAGACGTGAAAGCCAGCTGGGTGAATTTGGGCCAGTCACCAGGAGACGGTGAGTTCTAGTCCTGCCTTAGGAATGAAAGCCAGCTGGGTGACTTTGGTTCAGTCATTGTCTCTCAGCCCAATTCACCTCACAAGCTGTTCTTGTGGGGAAAATAGGAGGAAGGCGTGTTGGATATATCCACTGCCTTGAATGATTTACAAAAATAATAAACGCAGGATATACCCAAATAAAATAATAAATAAAATAAAATAAAATAAAATAAAATAATAAAATAGAATAAAATATAAAGTCAAGTAAAAAATAAAACAAAACAAAACAAAGTAAAATAAAATAATAATATATAAAGTAAAAAATAAAATAAAAAATTAAACAAAACAAAACAAAGTGAAATAAAATAAAGTAAAAAATAAAATAATAAAAAACAAAACAAAACAAAGTAAAATAAAATATAAAGTAAAGTAAAAAATAAAATAATAAAAAATAAAATAAAACAAAACAAAGTAAAATAAAATAATAAAATAACAAAATATAAAGTAAAAAATAAAATAAAAAATAAAATAAAACAAAACAAAGTAAAATATAAAGTCAAGTAAAAAATAAAATAATAAAAAATAAAATAAAACAAAACAAAGTAAAATAAAATAAAGTAAAAAATAAAATAATAAAAAATAAAACAAAACAATGTAAAATAAGATAATAAAATAATAAAATAAAATAAAAAATAAAGTAAAAAATAAAATAATAAAAAATAAAACAAAACAATGTAAAATAAGATAATAAAATAATAAAATAAAAAAAAAAAAAAAAAAAAAAAAAAAAAAAAAAAAAAAAAAAAAAAAAAAAAAAAAAAA